TTATTTATTTAATATTAATCTTTTAAATAATTCTTTTATATTTATAAATATTTTTAAATTAATATTAAAAACTTTATAATATAATTTTCTTTTAATTTTAATATTTTAAATATAAACTTTTTTAATATCTTTTTAATATTTTAATATATTTTTAATATATTTTTAATATATTTTAATATTTTTTAATATATTTTTAATATATTTTTAATATATTCTTTAATATATTTTTAATATATATATATTTAAATATTAATTAAATATTAAAATATTAATTAAATATTAAAAGTTAAAAATTTAAAAGTTAAAAAATAAAAGAAAATTAAAAATTAAAAATATATATTTTTATTTTATTTTTAATTTTAACTTTTAATATTTAATTAATATTTAAATATATATAAATTTAAATTTAAAAATATATTAAAAATATATTAAAAAAGTATTAAAAGTATATTAAAAATATATTAAAAGTATATTAAAAGGTATATAAAAGGGTTTATATTAAAAGTATAAAATTTAAAATTTTTAATTAAATATATAATTTTATATAAATTTTATATATAAATTTTATATTAAATAAAATAATTAAAAACTAAATAAATAAATATAATTATTAAATAAATAAATATTAATTTTTTAATTTTATTATAATATAATATAATAATTAATTAAAATTAATTAAAATTAATTAAAATTAATTAAAATATTATAATTATAAATATTTTAATTTTATATTTAAAAGAAATTATAATTTATAATAATTTTAATTATTTATAAATTAATAATATTAATTTAATTTAATTTAATTTAATTTAATATATTATTATTTTTAAAATAATTTTAAGTTTTATAAATTTTAAAAATTAAAAATAATAAAAACTTAAAAATTTATATTAAAAGAATTAAAATTTAATTTATTATAAAATAATTTTAAAATATAATTTAAATTTTTATAAATTTAATAATTATATTTATATATTTTAAACCTTTATTAATTAAAAATTAAAAATATAAATTAAAATTTTTAATAATCTTATTTTTAATAAATATATAAAAGGATATTTTTAAAGTTTTTAATTAATTAAAATTATTTTTAATTTCTTTATATAATTAATTAAAATTATTTTTAATTAATATTAATTTTAATTTTAATTCTTAATTTTTAATTAATTAATTTAAATAAAAGTTAATAATATATTATTAAAATAAATAAATAAAATAAATAAATAAAAATAAAATATTATTATTATAAAGTTTTAATTTAATTTTTATTTATATTATTTTTAAAACTTTTATATTTTTAAAAAATAATTTTATAAACTTTTAAAAATTATTTATATAATATATTAATATAATATTTTAAATAATAAAATATTTTATATAATAATTTTAATTAAATTAATTTTAAAATATTTATTATATTTAATTATTTTAATTATTTTAATTATTTTAATTATTTATTTTAATTTAATAATAAAATTATAAAAATATAAAATAATATAAAATAATATATAATAATATATAATAATATAAAATAATATAAAATAATATAAAATAAAATAAAATAAAATAAAATAAAATAAAATAAAATAAAATAAAAATAATAAAATAAAAAAATAAAAATAAATTTTATTATTTTAAAAGTTTAAATTTTATTAAAATAAAGTTTTATATTATAAATTTAAAAGAATTATTAATTTTATTATATTATAAATAAAAATATTTAAAAATAATTATTTAATTAAATTAAAAGTAATTAAATAAAATAATTATATTTTATTATTTAAATTTATAATTTTAATAATTTTATTATAAATTAAAAATAATTATTAATAATTAAATTTATAATTATATAAAAATAAATTTTATTTTTAATAAAAATTATTAATATTTAAAATAATTAATATATTTTTAAAATAATTTTATAAACTTTTAAAAATTATTTATATAATATATTAATATAAAAATATATTTTAATATTTTTAATATATTTTAATATTTTTTAATATATTTTAATATTTTTTAATATATTTTTAATATATTTTTAATATATTTTTAATATTTTTTAATATATTCTTTAATATATTTTTAATATATTCTTTAATATATTTTTAATATATTTTAAATTAAATTTATAATCTTTTAATTTTTTAAAACATATATTAATTATTTTAATAATAATAAACTTTTAAAAATAAAATTTATTTTATATAATTATAAATTTAATTTTAAAAATTTAAATTAAATTAATATTTATTTAATTATTTTAATTATTTTAATATATTTTTAATATATTTTTAATATATTCTTTAATATATTTTTAATATATATATATTTAAATATTAATTAAATATTAAAATATTAATTAAATATTAAAAGTTAAAAATTTAAAAGTTAAAAAATAAAAGAAAATTAAAAATTAAAAATATATATTTTTATTTTATTTTTAATTTTAACTTTTAATATTTAATTAATATTTAAATATATATAAATTTAAATTTAAAAATATATTAAAAATATATTAAAAGTATTAAAAAAGTATTAAAAGTATATTAAAAATATATTAAAAGTATATTAAAAGGTATATAAAAGGTTTATATTAAAAGTATAAAATTTAAAATTTTTAATTAAATATATAATTTTATATAAATTTTATATATAATTTTATATTAAATAAAATAATTAAAAACTAAATAAATAAATATAATTATTAAATAAATAAATATTAATTTTTAATTTTATTATAATATAATATAATAATTAATTAAAATTAATTAAAATTAATTAAAATTAATTAAAATATTATAATTATAAATATTTTAATTTTATATTTTAAAAAAATTATAATTTATAATAATTTTAATTATTTATAAATTAATAATATTAATTTAATTTAATTTAATTTAATTTAATATATTATTATTTTTAAAATAATTTTAAGTTTTATAAATTTTAAAAATTAAAAATAATAAAAACTTAAAAATTTATATTAAAAGAATTAAAATTTAATTTATTATAAAATAATTTTAAAATATAATTTAAATTTTTATAAATTTAATAATTATATTTATATATTTTAAACCTTTATTAATTAAAAATTAAAAATATAAATTAAAATTTTTAATAATCTTATTTTTAATAAATATATAAAAGGATATTTTTAAAGTTTTTAATTAATTAAAATTATTTTTAATTTCTTTATATAATTAATTAAAATTATTTTTAATTAATATTAATTTTAATTTTAATTCTTAATTTTTAATTAATTAATTTAAATAAAAGTTAATAATATATTATTAAAATAAATAAATAAAATAAATAAATAAAAATAAAATATTATTATTATAAAGTTTTAATTTAATTTTTATTTATATTATTTTTAAAACTTTTATATTTTTAAAATAATTTTATAAACTTTTAAAAATTATTTATATAATATATTAATATAATATTTTAAATAATAAAATATTTTATATAATAATTTTAATTAAATTAATTTTAAAATATTTATTATATTTAATTATTTTAATTATTTTAATTATTTTAATTATTTATTTTAATTTAATAATAAAATTATAAAAATATAAAATAATATAAAATAATATATAATAATATATAATAATATAAAATAATATAAAATAATATAAAATAAAATAAAATAAAATAAAATAAAATAAAATAAAATAAAATAAAAAATAATAAAATAAAAAAAAATAAAAAAAAAATAAAATAAAATAAAATAAAATAAAAAATTAAAAACTTTAATTTATTAATAATAATTTATTAATTTATTAATTAATTTTATATAATATATAAAAAATAAAAATATATTTAAATTTTATTTATTAATATAATTTAATTAAAATTAAGTTTTTAAAAGTATTAAGATTTAATAAAAATTAATAAAAGTACTTTAATATTTTAGAATACTAATAGCTAAGCTGCTGTGAGGTGCTGGCCCTAGGCCCTGTAATGGGTGGGGGTATTAAAGATGGCCTCCTTAAGTCGTCATAGTCTGTCCAAGACTGTCCTTAAGGCTATTGCACTTTTCTCGTGTGGCATTATTATTTAAAGTTTTCTTCTATCGCACAAGACGGGTTGAAGACTCACCCATGGCCTAATATGGGTGGTGGCGAGACTTGATCGTCACACCGTGGACGGAACTCCACGGGCAGTGCAAGTTCAGTTGGCGGATGGCGCATGGTTGCTCACTGTCGCACTTCAGCTTCTTGCAACGGAAAAAGTTGCATCTGGCTCATCAGTGCTGTAAAAGCATAGCCAGGGGTATAAAAATACCACAGTTTTAAGAATCTTAACTTTAAAAACATAAGATCTAGTTCCACTTCTATTCATTAGACATATCCAGAATATAAGTAAAACCAGGTAATTAGGTTATAAAGAAAAGGAATATCTTAAGTAGAAACATCTATGTAGCTTCTTTAAGGCTTAGGTGAATATGCTCTTGTAGTGTATTTTCTACAAGTGATCCTGTTAGAAATATCCAGCCACAAATTGAGGACTAGGTTGGATTTAACAACATGCCTTTGAGTTCAGTGACAGGGAAGCAGATATGTACACAGGCAACATTGGTCTTCAATCGCAACAGCAGCTGCTTCGTTTTCAGCAAGTGTTTGTTTACCCACAGAACACGTTCCTCCTTTGTGGACCAACACACCTCATGACAACCTCGCTCACCATCATCCTGCCCCCACAGACTCATTCACCCAGTTCGCCACGAGAACCCTGTAACATCTTGCTTTCACTTTGTACGTGTTTCTTGGGTCCTTGGGTCCTTGGCTCCAGGTGTGGCAATATTTCAACCAGGAACCCCTCAGCACTGCTATCTTAACATCTGCCTTGTCAACAAACAGTGGTGCAGGTAGCACCATCCTAGGGCAGTTGACCACAAGTCGGTTTCTCAAAGGCCCTTCCTGCTCCATCGTTTGACTAACCCCCGCCCATTCCTATCCTCAGCGGTCGCTCGAGCTGTACTACTATCTCTGCTCACCTTTGCAAGCCTGTGTCCAGCGCCCGACACTTTACGATTACATTTTCGGCCCCGATTTTGATGTTGTATCAATTCCATCACCAACGTTAGAGTCGGCCTGGTCAGCCCTTCGCTCTCCTCAACGAGGCAATGGCTCCCTCCAGGCCAACCCCATCTGGCCTAGGCGCCAGTCCGAAACCATCGTCAGGGCGGCCTGTATTCTTCGGCAGTAGGGCCGGGCACTCTGGAAAGGTTGAGAAGAAGACAGATCCTGCAAGGGAAGGCACCAGGCGGCGCAAAAAAGAGAAGAACCTGGTCCCCACAGGGACGGAGCTCGAGCAGATTGACCAAGCGGCCCACACCAGACCAGACCACGAATCCTTGATGACGCAATGTTCTCCCAAGCCCAAGGGAAGAACCCACGACAGTTCAGCACACCCAGGCTCAGGCCTGGCCTCAAATGATGGCGCCCTCGGAGTTGATAAAGATGCCGAGGGCGAACGGTCTGCGGCACGCCCTGCGGTACGCCCCAATAGCCTACAAGGAGGACAGGAGCTCAAGAGCATTGCGGATTTGCTTCTGGTTTTAGATGGGCAACAGAACTTTACAATTCCTCGCAACAAAATTATCGCCAGCAAGGAGGTGGACACTTTAGTTTACCAGCAGATGAGACGTCACGCACCGGGTGAGCAGCTGACACCAGACTGTGTGCGTAACAATCTGATCGACAGCCTAGAGGATCTTGAGCTGCGATGGAATCTGCGAAGCAAGAGATCACGTTCTTTCTTTTGGAATCGGGTGTGCAAGCGAGAGCACACATGGATGAAGCAACTCGACGGTGCTGCGTGTCGAGATTTCTTTCTCTGGCTGGTGGTATACTTCAGACACGGGCCCGCCAGGGGCAAGAAGAAAACGACAGACGCGCTAGTTAAAGCCTTGGACAGGCTGAGCACGCTGCTTGACAAGGAAGAGGACTGTGAGCTGGACGGGCTCGTTGGAATCGAGGCCAGAGTGCGGCAGCCGGCCGAGCAGCCCGCAGGCCATGATGAGCGGGCTGATGTCTCCGTGAAGCACGACAGCGTGTCCAGGCGCGTGGCCGGCAACATCTTCCGCAATTCGGGAAACACCAACATGAGCGACAATGAGCTCGGTGGCATTGACATCGAGCGGCTCATGCCGATTGTGGACGTGGGTGGCAGCCGGCAGAAGAGGCAGGACCGTGAAAGGGCATTTGATGAGGAGCTGGAAGCCGATCGAGTTAGGATTGAAGAGGAGCGGGCCGCAGCGACAGAACTAGGCGTGGCGGAAGGACGCCAGCCGACGACATGAGGCAGGAAGTGCTGGGCCCCGACAAGCCCCGGTGGAGTCGGCGAGGAAGCCGTCCAAGTCCAAGGAGGACATTTCGTCAAGTCGATGGTGACGAGGATGACGCCAACAACAGCAAGAAGGAAAGACTTGAGATTGTTGCTACGAGCATCTGATCTGGCCGGCCACCCAGCCTGTGCCGTATGTACTCAACACGGGATCAGCCTGTTTTATTGTCGGTATGACCAGGGCTGCCCGACTGTTCGCCGGGCTAAGAAGAGCCTGGATATGTTTACTTGTTACAGAGGCAGGCTTGTAAAAATCAGACTTGTGCTTTTGCCTCTCGTGAGATGTCGGGCGGTGGGACGTTACTCAGCTAGGTACCTAAGTACCTACCTAGGTACCTAGGTACCTAAGTACCAATCCGGAAAGGGTAGGTACCGGCGCCGTTTATCGCTTCAACGGGCCAAATGCCAACCCCCTCCTCCCCTCCCCCCTCTGTCGTCGACCCAACTTTTTAGTCAGAGTTTCCCGAAACAACAGCTTCAACCTCTTTTCTCCTCCCTCGTGTGATGCGCCTTTGCTTGGCCGACGAGTGGGAACTCTGGTCTTGTGCTTGGGGGATTGACTGATTGACTAACCAATTGATCTCTGGGGTGGCTGTTCTCCCTTCTGACTCGGCAAGCCGGGCCATGCTACCCAACTGTCCTGCAGACTGACTACTAGGCACTCCGTACACAACAACTCCAGCACGATCCTGCCCACGCAGCCACTTCACCGTCTCTTTGCCGGCGCCGCCCCTCCCCCCAAGGCACCCCCACCCCTTCGCTGCGGACAGACAGGGCGGAAAGAAAAACATAACCTGCATGGTCTACCACACGCAACATCCCGCGGCGCAGATGGCCATGTGCTAGGGCCAGAAACACCAACCGCCGCCTCCAGACATGGCTTCCAACAACTCCCGGGCGCCCTCGGGCAGTTCCACGCCCAATCCACACGCGCCATCCACCCCGAGCGGACTGCGCCGCACCTACAACGCCAGCGCCGACGCCTTGCCCTCTCCCGGCGTCCCAGCCGCCCCAGCAGCCCCTGCGCCCCGAGATGCCTCCCCTCCCAGGCCTCCTGCTCACTCGAGAGCCCCCTCCGAGACAACTGCCCTTCTTCGGGATGCCCTCGACCGCGAACATGCCCACGACGGGCCCTGCGGCCACGGCACCTTCTCCCCGCAGCCCTCCAGTCCCACCAACGCCTTCAGCCGCTCTCTCAACCCGTCCCTGAACGGCTCTCGTGCCCCCTCCCCCGGCGCGTCGTCCGAGAGCTCGCTGCCCATCATAGACAGCGTCGTCGCCTTTGTCGCTGCCAAGGGTGCTCCGGACTGGAGGAAACGCTGGGCCGGCCGCATGAGGACAAAGACCATGGGCAGGTCCAGCGAGCTGGCCCAGAGGCACGGCGTCAAGGACAACGCCTTTATGTGAGTCTTGATTGCCAACCACCAACCACCAACCACCAAGGCTGACCCCCCCTCGCAGGTATCTCTCTTATTACTTCCCCGCCCTGGTATGGCTGCGCCAGTACAAGCTCTCCTTCCTCAAGGGTGACTTCATCGCCGCCCTGACCATCGCCGGCATGTACCTGCCGATGGCGCTCTCCCTCGCCGACACCCTCGCACACGTCCCGCCCATCAATGGCCTGTACTCCTTCGTCTTCAACCCCTTCCTGTACGCCGTCATGGGCACTGCGCCTCAGATGATCCTCGGCCCCGAAGCCCCTGGGTCCTTGCTGGTCGGGAGCGTCGTCAAGGGCAGCGTGGAGCTCGGCCGCGGCTCGGACGACGATGCCGTCATGCATGCCCAGATTTGCGGCATCATCGCTGGCACCGCTGGCGCCACCATCTTGTTGTCAGGCCTGTTCCGCCTGGGCTTCCTCGACAGCGTGCTCTCGAAACCGTTCCTGCGCGGCTTCATCTCCGCCATCGGGTTCGTCATCTTCGTGGAACAGCTCATGCCGGAGCTCGGCTTGGCCCAGCTGGCTGCTGACCACGTCGGCCATGGAAGCACCATGGACAAGTTGACCTTCATCTTGACACATACAGGTGATGTCCATGTGCTCACTGCTGTCATATCCCTCGTCAGCTTCTCCATAGTCATGACTTGCAGGTATGCATGCCCCTCGCAGCAACCCGGCCGGGCCAACACAGACAATGCACGCGCTGACGTCTTCTAGGGAAATGAAAAAGAAGATGCAGCCGCGCTACCCATGGCTGGTGTACATACCGGACCGTCTGATCGTCGTCGTGTCGTCCGCAATCCTGTGCTACTTCCTCGACTGGGAAGAAAAGGGCGTCGCAATCATGGGCGAAATCAAGGCGGCGTCGGGCCACGTCTTCACCTTCAGGTGGCCTTTCCAGCTCTCTCATATGACGCATATCAGGGACGCCATGGGCACCTCATTTCTCATCGCCCTGCTTGGGTTCTTCGAGTCGTCCGTCGCCGCCAAGAGCCTCGGCCCCAGCAAGGACGTGCCGGGCATACAGCTCAGCCCCAACCGGGAGCTCGTGGCGCTGGGCACCGCAAACCTGATCGGTGCTTGCTTCATGAGCATGCCTGCATTTGGCGGTTACGGCAGGAGCAAGGTGAACAAACAGACCGGCGGGAAGACGCCAATGAGCTCCGTGTTCTTGAGCTGCCTGACCATCGTCTGTATCTTTTTCATATTGCCATACTTCTACTACCTCCCGGTGAGTCGACTTCATTGCACAGTATTGCGTGCTACCCGTGCATATCACTCACTGGTCACTATCTGACGCGAACAGAAACCCGTACTGTCATCCCTCATCACAGTCGTCGCGTATTCCCTCGTCGAAGAAGCCCCCCACGACATCGCGTTCTTCCTCCGGATCGGTGCCTGGCCCGAGCTCGGACTCATGCTTGTCATCGTCCTGACTACCATCTTCTATTCTCTCAACATGGGCATCGCGGTAGGCATCGGGGTCTCGCTCTTGCAGGTCATTCGCCACGCCACCCGGCCCAGGATACAGATCCTGGGACGTATCCCGGGCACACAGCGGTTTGAAAACGCCGAGGACAACCCCGAGCGGCTGGAGTTTGTCGAAGGCTGCCTCATCGTCAAAATCCCCGAGCCACTGACATTTGCCAACACAGGCGAGCTCAGGACCAGGCTCAGGCGGTTGGAGATGTATGGCACAGGCAGGGCGCACCCTGCGCTGCCCCGCCTCCGCCACGAAGATAGCAACAGGAACATCATTTTCGACATCCATGGCGTGACCTCGCTCGACGGGTCTGGCACCATGGTGCTGGAGGAGATTGTACGCACGTATCGCGAGCGCGGGGTGCGGGTCTTCTTCAGCCGGTGTCCAAATCGTGGCAAAGATACGAGCAAGGTGTGGCGCCTCATGGTTCGCAGTGGCATCGTCGATCTTGTGGGCGGCGAGGGCCAATTCGTGGATGACGTGCAGGATGCCCTCAAGATGACCGAAGTGGAGGATGGCGGGGAGTCGGTCGTTTCGGGAGAGAGGGGACGGACGATGGCAGAGCGGGATGTCGGGGTGGAGTGAGAAAGTTGGCGGTCTAGAAGTTAACAGTCTGGAAACTGGCGCAAAGCATAGACGGTCCACCGGTTTGGATATGGTGTATAGATGACTTGAGATGACTCGATGGGTAGACGATGTGTGTGTGTGTCTTTCAACGGCACTTGGATGCGTGCATTACGACATGAAGCGGCGTCTTGCATAAGTGGTGTGGTTCTTGTCTTTTCAATCGTGGGAAATAATATCCAGAACAGCATTCCAATTCCGGTCATGATTTACCACAGATCAATTTGAAAGCTAAAAACCACCTCGCTCGTACCATGTTACTGTCAGCTGCTTGTATATACAGTAGCATTAGGTGTGCCTATTCATTCTCTTGTCCAAGCTCGCTGTTCCGGGCCTCGATGGCAAACGCAAGTGGTAGCGGAACTTTGTAGGGCATATTTAAAGTAAGTTGACCTATTGAGAGAAACGGATCTATCAGGCCCCTCGTGTTCACAAGACCTCTTTGTGGGGTAATTCCTGCCTGGAGTTAATAGTATGGGTGGTAGCTTGGGTTACATCTCTACTACTCCGTATTGTTGTGCATGAGGTGAGAGCTTGTGACCGCCACTGGATCAGATTGGTGGTTCTTCAAACGACGGTACTATTTCAGGCACAAATAATCACTACAGGTGCTATTTCAGCCACCTCCCATGGCCGTGCCGGGACTCCAGTTACTCGGGTCCCTGCCATGGGAATTTGCTGGAGTGGTCATGGGCAGGAATATGCGGTCTCGTTTCTACTCCGTGTGCGTCCGAAGCCATAACTAGTACACGGTGGGTGCCTTCAGGAAAAAAAGTGAGTGGTAAAGGCTTAAACTTTCAAATACCTAGCATTTACAAGGTAGGTATTGCCGATCACAGTAGTAAGGATAGGTGTGGGAAGGAAATATCCAAGCGCTTCATCAACATTCTATGACTCGTGTGGACAGTTGACATGCTCCGGATGTCATCCCAGAGCCGTCTCGAATCCTTTTATGCCTTGTCTCTGCTCATCACTAAGTGTGATACCAAAATAATCCTTCAACACCTCGATCCGCTCCTCCTCTGTGCGGCATATTTTCACTATGTCTGTCTTGCCACCGAGATTCCTCTTCACCACCCCGTGCGCAAGCATGATTTTCCCACTCGTTTCCACCTCTGGAATCGTGATCGAGTCCGAGTCGCCTGGATCTGCGGCCTTGACCAATCCCTTCTTCCATGTATCTCCACAAGAATCCCTGAGGAATTTAACCACGAGGATCTGCCTCCTCTGGAAGCTCTCGGGGTGGGACGAGACCCAGTAGTTGGCACACTCCAGATCCCATCTCGATGCCTCGTGGTCACCAAACGCATAGTACCGGTTCCAGTCGTCCTCTGGGCTATTGCGGTACTCATAAAACCATACCTTGTTGGCTTCCCCTCCCGACACGGTGCCAGGGTACAGGCCACGCGTGATCCTCACCTCCTGCGGCCCCAGGTTCTTGTGCACCGGGTACTCGCACCCGGGCCCGAGGCTACGGATCAGCGGTAAGGGCGCGGTCATCCCGTCGCCGCCGAATCCGACGTCCGTCACCCAGCGCTCGGGCTCGCGCTCGGTGCCAAACTCGACGATAGTGACAACATGGCGAGGGCCGACAAAGTCGCCCTGGGGGACCGGCCCATCCCGCAGGCGGATCGAGGCCTGACAGTGGTACGCCGTGAAGCCAAGGCCTCGCAATATGTTCAACCAGAACACCGCCGTCTCGAAGCAGTATCCTCCTCGCCCTCGGCTCGGTGGGCCGACAAACTTTTGGTACAGCGCCTGGGGATCTATATCGTTGATGTGGTGTGGGTTGTAGTGCAGCGAGAGATTCTCGTACGGGATAGTGCTGATTTGCAGGCGGTGAAGAAGGGCCAGCGCCTGCGGGTTGCGGGGGAAAGACAGCGGGAGCGGGAACGATATGTGATCCAGGTAGTTCAGAATCTGGGACGGGGTGTACGTAGAGACAGGGGACGTGCCCTCTCGCGTCGAGACGCTCTCGGCGACTGGTGCGTGAGCTGCCATCTATCGTCTCCAATGTTGTTGAGAACGGGCAGCCTGGGCGGGCAGGATTTTCGTTCGCCGTTCCAAGCGGCATCGGTCTTGCCATTTATTCCCCTTGCCAACTTTCAAACAAAATGAGAGACCGTGAGTCAGGCCGGGATAGACAGTATGGGGGGCAGGGGACGATCCTCTGCTAGCGCATCACGCAATCACCATTCAGTGTGGGATTGACCAGTGGTATTACACAGACAGACGTTGAGAATAGATCTCTGTGTTCCCTAGGCGGTCCCTCGGGTGCTTATAAGTTACTACTAAACTCCTTGATTATAACTTTACTTCCATGTATGTCCTCGGATGTATACGGAATAGAAGTGAAACTATATATGGAATAAAAGTGAAATTATATAACTTTACTTAAATTATAAAGAAGTTAAATTTAAAGATAAGTTTAAATAAAGTAATTAATATTTTATAATAATATTAAGTAGATTATAATACTATTAATATTAAATTAATAGTTAATAATAAGTAAATAAATAAATATTAAAGATTATATTATTATAATTATTTCTATGATGATCGTAGATGTAGGATATAGTGCATCAATTTGCACCCGTCGCAACGAACCCCACTGGCTACCTCGGCAATCCCGAGATGAGAAAAGCTTCTTTCGTAGTATAGTGGTTAGTATGCAAGCTTGTCATCGCCATCCTTGGAAGCAGCAACGCTTGAGACCCGGGTTCAATTCCCGGCGAGAGAGAACTTGCAGCAGCCTCATTTCATTTTTCTTTTTTCCTTTTTTTTCATTTCTTAACATTCCCATACAGTCAACTATGATGCTTTTTCTTCACGACGTCTGTACTCTGGAGTGACAGCCACCCCCATGATATACGGCGCCGCCTGGGCACCTAGTATCATTGTTCCTTAAACATTTGTTTCTGAACCAACGGAGACACGGAAGACACCACGCCTCATATTAACACACGACATGCATGCTGTCAGGCTAGCACTGGCTCGCTCATGCTGCGGCGAATCGTTCGGCCCTGGCGGCCCTGCTCTCCCTCTGCTTGGTGCGTTTTCCAAGCTCGCTGCGGTCGTTCCCATTTTGGTCTTCCTGGTACAGGTTGTATTCCTGATCAGATATCTCACCCTCATTATATTCGCCAGCGGCCGGCCGAGGAGCGGTCGTTGATGTGAAATGCACAGGGGGGCCATGCTCATCTCTATCCTCGCCTTCGTTGAAGTAAAGCCGGTCGCCTGCGGTGTTGACGGTCAGCCTTTGACGCATAAGACCAGTATTTCTGCTGCACAAATCAGGGAAGGCGTGGGCCGTTGTGTGGCCTTCTGCGTCAAGACTTGCAGCCTGGCAGATATCTTAAGGTTGGGGAAGATACGGAGCGACTATTCTACTTGAACGGGGAAAAGTGAAGTGCGGTGTTTACTCACTGTCGTGAAGTGACACGACCTCCCCCCAGGTGTCAACCTGCCGCGTCTGCATCTGACCGGGCTGTTGGTGCACCGGCAACATGTCGGGGTCTTCAGGTTCGCGACGGCGGAAGGGCAAAGTGCCCAGGAGCGGCCTGAGCCCCTGGCGTCGCTGTGGTGGTGCACCCTGGCCGTAATAGTCCGACTTGGAGATATATTCGCCATCGGCGTCACGAGTGGGACGGGATGCTCGGTGGCGGTTTCGGTTCATCCTGATTTCTAGTAGGACAGACAACGCGAGGAATATGCTGTAGTTTGATAGTAATCATGAGTTGCTGTCAACATTGAATCATTTCAAATGTTCCCAGACCCGCCGCTGGGAAACAAAACCGGGTAGAAAGAATTATGTACCCGTACTACCCGGGTGAAGTAACCACTCACCAGGCAATACTAGCAGCGGCGAGGCAGACTGTCTCCAACCTACAAGCCATCCGGAAAGTCGGAAATCCATTGACGGGGACGTTGGCGATGCTGTTTCCCGATCCGCTCGTGCTTGGAGAAGCACTCGCCTCCCCCGAGCCATAGACGGTGCTCACATTGCTGCCGGCACATGAGCTCGCCCCGTCACGGTTCCCGACGGCAACGTAAATGTAGGCGGCGATGAGCCCGATGTCGAGGACAATTGCGATGAAAGACGACAGGGGGAATCCTGCGCAGCAACAGACGAAAAGGACGCCGAGGGCCGCGTACAAGGTGCCGATGGCCGAGATACCTTCTATGGCCTTGATGCCTGTCGGGATGGTCATCTGATGGCTGGCCATGGTTGCGAGGAAGTACGAGTAGATGCCCAGTATGACGACTGAGCAGACGAACTGGATGCCTCGGAACAGCCACTGGAGGCATTTGAGCCCCGCGAGCCCTGAGGAGCCCATGGTGGGAGCGGATTGCTGAAGGCGCGGAAAGTGAAAGCTGAGGGCGTGGAGGCTCTGCAGAAGCCGTGGGTTGCAGTTCCAAAGGAGAGGCTGTTCACATTTTTGAGATTGCGACAGAGTGCGCCTGAAGACAACGGACGCCGTCCATCACGCTTTGGGGGGATGACGTTGAGTGTGACGGCGTCAGGGCAGAGTCGAGGGCAATATGTCATTGCCAGGGATTGCTTGAGTACCTACGTATAACGGCCTCCATATAGACTGAGAATGACAAGGGTGGTGGTTTGTGTTGCTGCCGCTGTCACAGGCGAGCCCCCCAGAGGTGACCTCATGACGTCCTAGCAGAACTGGCAGACAAGACTGGCTGACTGGTGGTGGTGGTATTGGTATTGGTATTGGGATCTGGCTCACCAAATCTACTTAAGTAGGTATCCTGTCTACCTGGATACCTAGGTACTTAAGTACTTAAGTAGGTACCTAGGTACCTCGGCACCTGGGAGAATCACCTCCCGACCCTCGTGACTCTGAACCCAAGCCTCTCCATTTCCTTGACATCTAGCACTCCTCTACCGTCGAACACCCATCTAGGCGTCTTCATGTAGTAGCTGATCTTGGCCCAGTCCACCCTCTGCCTGGGAGTATATCCCTGACCGGGGGCGTGGCTGTTGCCTTCCGCCTCACAGTCCGGGCAGTCGGTGCCACAGGCTGGCTCAGCGCAGAGCCTCTGCAGCGGGTGTCTGCCCAGGGCCAGGAGCTCCAGCTCGGTCGGGTCTGTGGTGACCCCAGGGTTAGGGGCCGGCAGCCCCCCCGTGGTGACGACGGCGGCCTGCACGGGCCCGCCGGCCCCGTTTCTGAACTCGTCAAAGTCGGTGGTGATCAAGACGGCATCGGCAGCCGCGCACGCCTCGTAGACGCTGTCGTACACCGCCAATGGCCCGCCGTCCTCCTGCAAGACCATGTCGGCGTCCATGCTGCCGCCGAGCAGGTGCTTGATCTCGCCGCGCACGGTGGTCGGGTTGCAGCACGGGTCGAACACGGCAACCTCGCGCGGCCCTTCCTCGAGCAATGCCCGGATGATCTCGAGTGCGGGCGACTCGCGCGTGTCGTTGGTGTTCTTCTTGAAGGCGTAGCCCAGGACAACAACCTTCTTCCCCGCGAGCGTGTTGTTGAGGCAGCGCACCACCCGCCCTGCAAACCGGTCCCGGCTGTACTCGTTCATTGCGTTGACCTGGCTCCAGTATTCTGCCACCTGGTCCAGCCCAAGGCTCTGTGCGAGGTACACGAGCGACAGCACGTCCTTCTTGAAGCACGACCCCCCGAACCCGATGCCCGCCTTGAGGAACTTGTCCCCGATGCGCGGGTCAGCGCCGATCGCCCCCGCGACCTCGTCCACGTCCGCCCCCGTCTGCTCACATACGGCCGCTATCGAGTTGATTGACGATATGCGCTGGGCGAGCATCGAGTTGGCAACCAGCTTGGCGAGCTCCGACGACCACACGTTGGTCGTCATGATGCGTCGCCGTGGCACCCAAGACGCATACACCGCAGCGAGCGCTGACGCCGCCTTGCGGCCTGCGCGGGTGGGCGACGAGCCGATCAGAACACGGTCAGGGTAGAGGAGGTCATGGACAGCTGTGCCGGCTGCCAGGAACTCGGGGTTTGACAGGATCTCGAAGTGAACGCCGGGGCGGTGGACCGCCATCTAATGGCATGACTCAAACATCAGCCCGGCTGTGCCTGCCCGGCTCTGGGTCTTGTCAGGGTCGGGGACATACCGTCTCTTTGACCATCTGCGCTGTCCGACACGGCACGGTGCTCTTCTCGACGATGATCGCACCAGGCCTCGCGTGCTGTGCAATCTCGGCCGTGACCGCCTCAAACGCCGTCATGTCCGTCGCACGTCCTTTGCCCGCGCCGCGAGTTTTGGTTGGCGTGTTAACAGAGATCATGACCACATCCGCCTCGGAGATACACCGGCCCACCTGGGTGCTAAAGAACAGATTGGGCCGCCTGCCAGGCACGACTATCTCGTCGATGGCCCCTGATGCTTCGGGAAGGACTTGCACTTCATCTTTACGTGAGACTGGGCCGCGGGCGTTGACAATGACCGTTTCCTGCGTTCCATCTCGGGCAACCCGCACGATCTCCTCGAGGCCAGGCTCGTATATCGGGGGGTGTCGACTATTCCAGCGTCGAATGCGCGGCTCGTTAAGGTCAACAACCGTCACACGGATCCCGGGGTTGTTGAGGGCGACCACGGCTGCCGTAGGGCCGCCTGAATCCAATCTTGATCAGTCATCTCCATTTGGGTACTGCCGACACAGGCTCCTTTTCTCTTACCGACATATCCCGCGCCAACGCAGCAGATGTTGCGGACGGGCCGTGTCTGCGTGATGTCCGTATCCAGTACCTCGAGACCTCGTGGCTGCAATAGCGGACTGGACATGTAGCTCCCTTCTGGCGTTGTGGGGGCCGTTGAGCCCTCGAGGATATTTGCGCTGTCCACAGGGCTGTCGGGCTGGGGCGATGAGGGATTCATTTTGCTCTGACAGGATACTTGGCGACTGGTGAGCACTGTGACCCTGGAACCTTTGAACTTCAGTGGCCTTGTTGCGGGAAATGAGCAGCACCGTGGCAGTCTCTGGTTGTGTACGTTGTCACTGCCTGGTGTTCATTGCAAAGGTACGGAAAGATATTTATGAGACTGATCTGAGACGGACGGAGCACTCCAGGGACGGGCGCAGCTGTCTGATCATTTGCACAAAGACCAGGCCTTAAAGAGTGGCGACGTGATTCGCTTTCACAAGCACAGGACCTAGATAGCTAGGTATTTCTGCCTAGGTAGTTCCGCCTAGGTATCCCCAGCGAGCAAAGCGCCATGCGGCATGGCGCTCGAAGGATGGCAGCTTCAACACGCTCCTAGTCATCGCGGCCGAGCAAGCGCTCCAGGCAGATTATCCAGGGCTTAGTCGCGTCTCTGCTCGTTGCCGTTGCACGGCATGTCCAGATGCGACCCATTGCCTGTCACGGCATCCAACCACCGCGGGCACGGGGTCCAATCTGGGGGCTCCGTTGGCCTTTGGCGAGGCCCGTTGAGCCCGACGCATGACCGGCTAGAGAAAGCACCACGTCCCTGAGCCCATGGGTGGTAGCAGGCTCCGAGGCCCTCATAAGAGGCATATGGGTGCAAGCCAGGCCTCGCTCCAGCCTCTCTGGACCCCTAGAATTCTAAAAGAGTCCGAGACAGCCTGCCAATGAACCTGCATGCCCCTCCATCATGCCCTCGAGGCACACGTCCATTGGGCGGCGTCCGGGCCGTGTGGTTGGACTCTCGCCTTTGATTGGTTGGGCTGGTCTAAGTCCCGAGATAAGATATCCGGCCCGGGAAACCCTCAGAACACCTGAACGCTCATGGCAAACACAGGTCCGGGAAGCGCAGGCTGTTCGGCGCCCCGCCTCTTGCCCGTTGCTCTGTCGATTCTAGACTGGCCACGCGGGGGACACTACTACCGAGCTTGTTACCTACGAAAGGCTAGACCGTGGAGATGTGCCGTGAACGGCGGCCTAGCCAGGCTTGGTTCCATGGAACTCGGACCCATCACGGCAAGCACCTGACTGGTACTGCCGGGGAAAGTGACATTGTGTTGTCCAGATTCTGACCACACACTTCCGGATGAGAGCGACGTGTGACATGGAAGACCATTTGACTGAAGTCGTCAATGGCACCCACCTCAGCCACCTCGGCGCGCCCGACCCGCCTGGTTTCTGACCGCTGTCTTATATCGACGACGACCTCCCTGGTGCCATGGTTTCCTTTGCTCGCAACTGATTTGTGTTTTCGCTCATGAGACAGCAGCGCCTGCGTCCCGACGCCCGGTAGTATCAATCGCAGCGTGCCCATAGCTGCCGTGCAGCTGAAAGGCTCTGGCACGTTTAGTCTGCCCGTCGAGAACAAGACAGTTGAGCGGCCTGGACCGTGGACACACATGTCATGGCACCTACCAGCCACGCGCCAGGGGCACACAAGGATCTCTCCGTCTTTCCAGAAGCCCTGAAGGGGAAGAAAATCCTGCTCTGCACCGAGTCTTTCGGGCCTGTCAACGGGGTGAGCCGGACGACGATGATGCTCGTCAACCACCTGCGCGAGAACGGGTGCGACCTCGCCGTCGTGTCGCCGCACAACTCTACCCAGGTCAACACGTTCATGCCAAAACTCGCAACCACCAGCACCGCCACCACATCAACATCAAAATCAACAACAAACTCACCGACGCCATTGACAGCATTATCGAGCGATGTGGCTGATAGCCCCACGGCGCACTTCAAGAATATCGAAGTCCGCCTGCACGGATACCCTGTCCCCTTCAACCCCGAGCTCAGCATAGCCTACCTCGTGAGGCTCTCGGAACTCTACCGTCGCACCTTTGGCTGCCCACCCGATCTGATCTACCTCGCCTCACCTGCCAGCCTTGGCTTCCAGGTTATGCTGCAGCTACGGCAGCGACCCCGGGCCGACCAGGTGCCCGTGATCTGTAATTTTCAGACCGACCTTGCTGGCTACTGCAAAACGTTGTTCCCATGGCCCTTGGGCGACATCGCAGACTACACTTTCGCCGCAGTTCAGAGTTTTCTTTTCAAGCATTCGAGTGTTCGGACCATACTTTACCCTAGCACGTATGTGCGCAGATACCTTGAGCGCCAACGCGTCCAGAGGGACAAGATGGAGCTGCTCACACGGGGTGTGGACGCGAACACGTTCCATCCGAGTAAGAGGAGCAAGGCGCTGAGGAAGAGCATTGCGCCCAATGGCGAGATCATCCTGATATGCGTAGCGAGGCTCGCGGCGGAGAAGAGCTTTGATTTCCTCGCCCTTGCAGCCCGGGAGCTGGACGCACGTGGCCTGGACTTCAAGCTGTACATTGTCGGCGGCAATCGCCAGGCGGAGGTTGAGGCCGAGGTCAAACATCTCTTCGCGGACATGACGCGCAAGGGCAAGGTCGATTTCGCAGGTTTCAAGGCCGGAGAGGCACTGGCGGAGGCGTACGCCAGCGCTGACCTGTTCCTGCACTGCTCCGTCTCCGAGACGTTCGGGCTCGTGGTCCTCGAGTCGTTTGCATCGGGGGTGCCTGTGGTAGCGAGGGACATGGGCGGGCCAAGTGACACGGTTGATGACGGCGTTAGCGGGTTCCTCACGCCGCCCGATGACCTTTCTGGTTTTGTGGACAAGGTTGTCCTCTTGGCGACAGACGACAAGCTGCGGGACCGGTTCGGGGCGAACGCTCTGGAGCAGGCGCGGGAGGCAACGTGGGATAAGATCAATAACAAGGTAGCATGGGAGATGGTGGACACGATCCGCCAGAGGGAAGAGGAGCTGGAAGGAATACGGCTGGGTGGCGGCGATGTAGGTGGGCGTCGGGGCGCCTCTGCGGTGCCGATACTTGGGTGGCTGATGCTGAGCGATGCGGTGCGGGAAACGGTGATAGGCTCCAAGCTTGCTGCTGCCCTGGGTGTCATTGTGGGCTTTTGGGGCCTCGTCAGCGTGTATCTAGTGTTCACAAAGGCTGCGCGATGGGTCAGAAGCTTCTTCAGCAGGCCATAACCAGACACAAGGGGTCAGGTGGAGCCGGTTCGATGGATGTGTATGACGAGGCTGAAGCGACCTCGTCCGCATCCCCCGGGTGTAGGACTTTCATTTATTGATGTCCATGTAACGACAGTAGAATGACCCGTAGAACTTGATATACAGCTGACCACCAAGGGCCGCCACAGCCCTAGTTTCCTGCCAGAGCATACAGCTCCGTGCTGGTGATCAACGTGAGGCCTTGATATGGAACAACGATGATCGGCCGGCCACGATAAAATCGTGGCACCAACGCATGTGAAAAGGTCAACTTTGATTTTTCACCCCTCTGGAAACGTGGCTTTAGGGAGGTAGCACTCGGAACATAGAGCCCTACAGCCTCAGATCGCCAGCAGCAACAGAAGGCTTGCCAAAAGCCAACGCTAGCCAGCCGCCAATAAGACATAGACCACCCAGCGGCGTGACGGGTCCAAGGAACTTGAAGCGAGGGTCCATGATCAGTGCATATATGCTGCCTGAGAACAAGTTGATGCCAGCGAAGAAAAGCCCAGCTGCGACGGGGTTGTCGCGAGCAACGAGCAAGGCGACAGAGTGGATGATCTATCCCAGTCGACAGGCGTCAGAGTGTTTCTCGCAGCGGGTTGCCCAGATTCTGGCTGGGAGATGGGAGAGTACCTGGTACTGCGCTGCGGTGCCCCAGCTCGCGATCTTGGCAGGGTCCGAGATGCGTGACTTGAGCCCGTGAGCACCGAAGGCTCCGAGGCAAACGCCGGCAGCGCCGTACAGCGCACCGATGCGCCAGTAGGTCGATGTGGTGCTAGAGCTCATGGTTTTGCGTGGAGCCTCAGACTGTGGTACGATTAGGGAGATGGCTCTGTCGGGGGTGGACTTGTCAGTCAGTCAATGGGCGGCTTGGGGAGACGGTTGAGGTCGACGGGCGAGGCAATTCGCAGTGCCAAGGGATTGGGTGCAGAGCTGCAAGTGGGGCGGGCAGCGGCTATGTACCTAGGTACCTAAGTACTGTGGTACTTTATCAGCCCCATACCATCCACACCCTCCTCCTCCTCTCATGCCCTCTCTCATCTCTGACTTGAGCACAAGCTGTCTGCTCAACTCACACCCACACAACTGGCCTCGTCATGATGGGCTGCTTCGATTGGTTCCGTTACCAGACACACAGGACTGAACAGTCTCAATGTCCAGCCCCTCATGCCAAGTCCCTAGCCAAGTCCCTCTCGTCGACGTCATCCGTTGCCGAATCCGCCATGGACTCAACCGTAGCAGACGTCGACAGCGCTTCCTCCACATGCTTCACATGCGCCAGGCTGAACTCGTCCACGTTCCGCATCGTCGAGGCTGACAAGTATGGAGAATTTCCTTTCATCTACGTCAAAGTTTATGACACTGTCATTGTTTTGATCGACACCGGTTGCGGGGGCGCAGCAAGGGACCCGGGCGTCCAGCTCACTTCTCTGCGGGGCTTCATCGAGACATACCCGGTCGAGGACAATCACAGCACGCCGCTCAATGCAGGCGGGAGCAGGTCATACGTGGTAGTGTGCACCCACTGCCACTATGATCATATTGGTAAGCCTAGTCTCCGTGTCTCTGCCGCGAGGGCGTTCCACCCCTGCTGATATCCTCTTTCCTGCAAGGGGCCATTGCCCATTTCACAGACGCGCCCAAATCGTCCATATGGGCAAGCAATCACGACAGAGCATTCATTGAGAATGACTTGCCAACCTCCTCGTTGTGCCGCTTCGTCGGCATGGAGACACCACGATACGAGGTCACTGACTGGGCTGCAGACGCCCAGAGTATTGTCTCTGCCGGCAAGGACCTCGGACTCACGATATACCACACGCCAGGCCATACCCCTGATGAGCTAGCTGTATGGGATCAACAGGAGAGGGTCTTGTACGTAGGTGATACCCTTTATGAGACTGCACCTATACTCTTCTCTCTGTCAGGCAATCTGGGTGATTATGCTGCAACTCTGCGAAAGCTGAGGCTACTCGTCGATGGTTGGAACAAGGGACGCACCGAAGGCGACCTTGTGTCGATGGCTTGCGGTCATTGCACACAAAACACACCTGCCGCGGAGTTCCTTTACGAGGCCGAGAGCTTTTTCGACAAGATCAGAAGGGGACTCGTCTCGCCGATCGATAAGGGCACAACTCCTGGCCGAAATATCCCGCTGGTTGGATTTTACAGAGAGGACGGTTGGTTTTCCTTTGTAGGACCTAAGGACCTGTTTGATAGATTCCGCCAAGGGGAAGACGCCTTAAATATTTAGCTTATAATAGTTTTTTTTAAAAAAATAGATAGTTTTATTTCTATTTAATATAATTCTTTTAAATGTATCTTATTTTTATATATTTTATACTTATATTTTAAAATTATATTAATATTCTTAAAATAATCTTTAATATTTATAATAAGAAGAAATTAAAATTATAAGAAATATAAAACTTATTTAAATTAATAAAATAAGTAGAATATATAAACTTATTAATAAATTTTATAAGTAATTAATTTATAGTTTTAATATTTTTATATTAATTAAATATATATTAAGTTTTAATTTATTATATTAAGAATATTTTTATTATATAATAAAAAATAAAGTTATTTATAATTTTAAATTATTATTTTTATATTTATTTTAAAAGTATTATTTTAAAAAAAATACTTCTTATTTAAAAAAAGATAAAAATCACTTAAAATTAAACTCTTTATTTAATAATTTAGTAAAAGTTATATATATTATAAGTTAAAATACTTATTATATTACTATATCTATGTAGAGAGAGAATCTATTGATACTAGAAAGAACAGCGCCCCTTGGCTCTCGTTCCAGGTCATTCCAAAGTAAAGTTCTCATTGGGCAGACAGGAAAAACCCCCTAAGATAGGCAGAGAATGACGGCCTCAAGAGCTCGTTTCGTCTGTTCAACATTGTAGACCTGGACAGAGTCAATGCCCATGTCTCTCACGGGCGCATCGTTTCCGCCAGGATAAAGTGCGTCCCCGAAGAACAGCATCTCGGACTTGGAGATGCTGGAAAGCTCTGACAGGCGTTGCATGCCGTAAGCTTTGTCGACACCTACACGTGTGATATCTATTGATGTCGCACCACCAATACGTACAGAGACATCTGGAAGTATGGGTTGGAGATCTTCCTGAATTAAGCGGCGTTTCTCCTGCTTGGGATCCCAGCTCTCTTTTGGGTGGAGGGGGGCTTCCTGCCTGAAATTTGAAGTCAGCATGATGCTGGGGTACGGCCCTTGAATCATGCCTCGGCAGACCGTGGCAGAAACATGAAGTCATGAGTTCAGGTGTGTTGAGACAATTTGCAATACTTTCCAAAGGCAGTGACTTACCCGAGGGCTGAAAAGGTAATCTGGCTGCCGCGGTCTTCGATCTGTTCTCCCCAGATTTCAGCTGGCGTGAAACCTAGGCGGTCAATAGAGGCTCGCAACTCCTTGATGACTGTATACAGATGGTGTCTTAGCAACGCTGACCGAGAAAACAGGGCCAGAGCTTCTCTTTCTTGGTCTTTTCGGTAAACCCGAGTGACTGTAGAGAGCAGTCAAGAGCGGATATTACTCACTATGAGCCCTCTCCTCGTCACTGAATAGATCAGCGTATTTTCTGACCCACTGGCCGTTCTCGAAGCGATAGAGCTTGGTGCCCGTGGTGGGCATCAGCCAGAAGTGTGAGCGATTGGTGCTGTCGGGTAGGCGGCTGGCGACTTGCTTGTCGAACTGCGGCCAGTCTCCGCCAGAGATCACACAGATGTCCGTGACGTGGCTCAACCGCTCAAGAATGACAGCCATCTCATCATCAAGTGCCTGCTTGCTGTCGGCAAGAGTGCCGTCAAGGTCAAAAGCTATCAATCGCTTCATTGTGGGATCACAGATAGTAGAATTGTGAGCAATATGTGAAAGAAGCCTTAGGCGGATTCCGACTTGAAAGGGTGCTCAATAGATGAAAGAAATCAGACAGCTGTCCTTTGCCACCTAGCCCGCTAATGTTATCCGGGGGTTACACATTTGGTCGCCCCCTGTGCCTACCCGGCACAGGGGTGCCGAAACCCTCACATAGATATAACATGTATAATATAATAAAATAATTAAATAAAGATTAATTAGAAAATTATAATTATAAATCTTTTAACTTTATAATAAGAGTAAATCTTTTAACTTTATATTAAGGAGGGAAATTATAATAATATAAATTAATTAATTAAATATTAATTAAAAATTAATTAAAAATTAATTAAAAAAAATATAATTATAAATTTTTTAACTTTATATTTTTAAATATTAAATTTAAAAGTATTAATTATTATATAAAGATATTGTATTTTAATTTTTATAATTTAAATTATTTATTTTAATTTAATAATAAAACTTAAAACTTATAAATAATTTATATTATTATAAATTTATAATAATTTTATAATTTTATAATTTTATTACTTTATTATAATTAATTTAATTTTAATATTTTAGAAAATATAAATAAATAAATAAATAAATAAATAAATAAATAAATAAATAAATAAATAAATAAATAAATAAATAAATAAATAAATAAATAAATAAATAAATAAATAAATAAATAAATAAATAAATAAATAAATAAATAACTTTAAATTTAAACTTTTAATTTAAATTTAAATTATATTAAAATCTTTATAAATATATATTATTATTATTATTATTAAAATAATATTTTTAACTTTATTTATATATTATAAAGTTAAAGTTATAAATATATATTATATTATAATTATAATTATTAATATTATATTTTATAAGTATTAAATATTAAATATTTATTATTATATAAAAGTATTATATATATTTTAAATATAAAAACACTATATATATCTTAAAATATATATAAAATAAAAGCGAAACTATATATGTCTTTAAATATATATAAAATAAAAGTTAAACTATATTTATTAATAAGCTTTATAATTTAGGAATAATCTATAATATAATTTATATCCTATACTAACCTATTAGCTTATTCTAACTTATAGCTAGCATTAAAAGTACCCAGCACGACTGTTCATCTTTCTCTTCGTATTGAAACTAATACCGGGCCGTTGCCAGTGTAGCATTCAGCAACGCAACCTCGTACTAGTGCTCAAGGACTGTGAACAATTGGCCTGGCGGGCTGACTAGCACCGGCTTATTAACCTGCTGACTGCCGAACGAACGGGCCAGGCCTCCCTGCTGGTGTTAGCACTGCAGGCACATATACCACTGACAGATCGGCTGCTGCACCATTCTACTAGCACGGCGTCATCTCTCTGGGTATTGTTGTGGGCGAGGGGCCTCACCCGTGGCATAGCGTCCCATCATTTAGGCACAGGCTTAGCTCCCGCCTGTGTTCACTCCACCGCAATCTAGCATTCCGCAGATGGTACACGGTATCATCATGTGGGCTTGCAGCACGGGGTGCAACACTTCCCTCGTGACCCCTCCCAGTGAGCGCGCAGGTCGTTGTGACGATGCTCCGGTCCTCTTGTTCAGGAGAAATGTACCTAGGTACGAGTCAGGGTTGTGCACAATGTTCCTGCAAGCGTTGCAACTGTGACGCACCAGGTCCGGGGTTGCCTAGCTCAAGCATGGTACCTGATTGCCTGAGTATGAATCCTAGGGTTCCCCGAAGCTTGAGGTAATATCCCTCGTCCCCTTGAATGCGTTCCTCATCCGGCCCCCGATGCATCATCGGAAAATAAGGAGCGGAGATAGAACATTTTAATCTATCAGTCTCTCATGTCTTGTCTTGGCAAGTACTATTAGTAGTTGCCGGGCCGTGAATTACGCAGTCCGTTTCCCCCAGGGTCTTGCTTGCACTATGCACAATGGATGGGCACCCTTTGCTTCTGGTTTGTTATTACGTATGCTTTTTAACAACAGCGTTACTTCGTTCCCTGGGCGGCCAGACGAAGCTGATATATAGTGCTCGCCTTTGACCAGTTCTCGTCGTGGAGGGCTTAGCAGGATCTGTGAATTCCATTTATTTTATCTTGAGAAACTATAGTCTCTGTGCCCTCGCTCCAATGTTTTACTATTTGATTCGTTTGAGCACCCAGCTCGCTTTTCTCTTTTCGATCCTTGCCATCCAAGTGGTCAGAACCTTGCCTGCAGAATCGGGTGTCCAAATTCTATCGGACCAGGAAGGCATTCCTGCACTTGCTCGGCAGACGCCGAGTTTCTTCGCGAGAATCCTTCCACTCGGGGCTTCTATCGTCCAAGGACGTGGCTCTTCCGCGGGCAATGGGTGGGTCAGACAGAGGTATTTTGCAAAAGTATTTGTGTAATTCGCTGATAGCCACTAGCTTCCGCAAGTACCTTCGAGATCAGCTTCGAAAGGATAGCTGGAAGGTCAACATGGTGGGTTCGAAGGGTGAAGGTACTATGTAAGAAGAGTTTCGTTTATCCCTTCGAGAATAATCAGGGCAGCCTATTTTGGCTTGTATAATCGAGACTCTAAGGCCTAGAGGTTTTGAGACATCCTGTCACCAGATTACGACGTACTCTGGGCAGGTTTGGCATGAATTTATCTCTTTGGTCCTTTGACAGCTGACTCTGAATTCTGTAGGGCCGACAACGTGCGTAGTCTGTATCTACTTAGAGCTGCTAATTACTGTGAGCATAGTGACATTTTACTAATGGATGTGTGAGTGCAGAATTTTGAGGCTGTCCCTGGCTATACCGTGGATCAGATCCACAACATTTCGCATCTCTCTACGCCATTCAAGCCGAACATCGTTCTCATAAATGCAGGTGTGAATGACTGTGAAAACGGAATCGACATCCCAAACATTGGGTCTCGCCTGGCCAGCCTCCTTGACGATCTGTTCAAAGAAATTTCAGGTACAACACTTGTTGTCTCTACCTTAATTCCTGGAACCGACCCTGATGTTGAGAGATACCGGGCGGAGGCCAACCGACAGTACCGCGTGCTCATCAACGATCGTCGAGCTCGGGGACAAAACATTGTCCTAGCTGAAAGTGTGCCTATAAGGTTCCCTACTATAACACTGGTGGATACTAATGCATGTTACAGTGGACGGCACAGCCGGATACTTCGATACCCGAGTGGGGGACGGTGATTACTTTGATGAGACTCATCCTAACGACAAAGGTTACGCAAAGATGGCGGCCATATGGAGAAAGGCGATTAAGGTTGCCGAATATGAGGGCAAGCTCACTCCACCTGCTACTACTCCTGGCGTTGACGATGAGGGTTCTAGCGACGACCCAGATACACTCACAAGCCCTCCTCTACCAACTCCACCATAGTTCTCACTTATATATTCTCTCTAGTTTTTATTATTAATAATATTATTTTATATATTCTATTAAATTAATTATAATTAAATTAAAATATTATATATTTATTATTATATAAAGGTATTATATATATTTTTAAATATATATAAAATAAAAATAAAATTATATAAATTATTATTATATATTATTATTATATAAATTATTATTATATATTATTATTATATATATTTTTAATATATATAAAATATAATAAAAATATATTTTATATAAAAATATAAATTTTAATTATATAATATTTCTTAATATTATATAATATTATTTTATATTATATAATATTTCTTTTAATAATTTAAACTTTATATATAAAGTTTTAATAATTTTATATATATATTTATAATTTTTATAAAATAATTTAATTTTTTAAATCTTTTATATTATTTAAATATAACTTTAATTATACTATATTTTTATATTATATAATTATTTATTTCTTTTTAATTTAAAGTTTATATATAAAGTCTTTAATAACTTTATATATATTCTTATAATTTTTATAAAAGAACTTTAAATTTACTTTTTTATATTATTTTATATTATTAAGAAATTAATAATTATTAATAATTATTAATAATGAAAGTATAAATTTAAAAGATAATAAACTTATTATATTCTTTTTTATTTTTTATAAATTACTTTTAAATTTCTTTTAAAAGTTTTAATATTTTATTATAAAAATTTTAAAGGTAATATATTATAAATTATTTCGTTTTTAATTCTTTTAAAGTTAATAATTATATATTTAAATAAAAGTTATAATATTAATTTATTTAATAAAAGTTTTATTAATATATATATATATATATATATATATATATATAATTTTAATTAAACTTTTAATATAATTTATTTATATAATACTTATTTTATAATAATTAAATTATAAATTATTTTATTTATAATTTTAATTAATATTATTATTAAAATAATATCCTTTAATTTTATTTATATATTATAAAGTTAAAGTTATAAATATTTATTATATTATAATTATAATTATTAATATTATATTCTTTTAAATATTAAGTTTTAAATATTTATTATTATATAAAAGTATTATATATATTTTAATATATATAAAATAAAAATAAAATTATATTATTTAAATATTAAAGATTATTATTTATAAAACTATAAATTTTAAAAAATAAATTTATTATATATTTATATAAAGATTATAATATTTATTAAATAAAAGTTTTATTAATATATATATATATATATAATAATAATTATTATTTTAAAAATTTAATTTTATTATATTCTTTTATAATTTTAATATTATTATTAAAATAATATTATTTATTTATTATAAAATTAAAATTATAAATATTTATTATATTATTATATTATTATTATTAAGCTAGCGTCTATATACCTAGTAAGTTAATTTATATACCTAGTATTTTCTTTCTATACACCTAGTACCTAGTTTTATATATAGGGCCTATATAAAACTATATACCTAATTAGAATTCTTTAAATTTTTAATACTTTAAATATAAACCCCTTCTTAACCCCTTTTAACCCACCTTCTAATACCCCTTCTAATACTCTATAGTATGTAAGTTAGAGTGTAACTATATTATATTTATATATAATTTAAAAGGAAGGTCTAATAGCTAGAAGGCTTATTTATAATCTTTAAGGTAAGCTTAAAGATATAACTTATATATCTACTAGCTAATATTAACTAGTAGCTAGCTAACTACCTCTTTATACCCTATTTATCCATCTATATATAAATATAACTATACTCTATTATACCTACTATAAGTATTAAAGTTATAAAAAAGATTATAATATTTTATTATTTTTATTATAATATAATTAAGTAGATTCCTTCTTATAAGTATTAAACTTCTTAATTAATTCCTTAATATATTTAAAATTATATTTTATTTTTATTTATTATATTTTAAACTATATTTCTTTTATTAAATTAAATACTTAATTATTTTATTAAATAATTATTAATTAAGTATTTATTTAATTTTAAAGTATTTCTCTTTCTTTTAATTAATAAATTAATATATTTAATAAATAAAAACTAAAAATTTATTAATTAAATTTTTAATTTTTATAAACTATATATAATAAAAATATTAAATAAAAATAACTAAATTAATATAATCCTTATTCTTATTAAAATCTAAATAATATATTAATAAAGAGATTTTAATAATAATAATATAAAATCTTTTTAAAAGTTATTAATTAATATTTTAAGTTTTAAAAAAGCTTATAAGCTTTATTTATTTTAAACTAAACTTTATTATTAATATTAAACTTAATTTATTAATATTAAATATTATATTAAATCTTATTATTTAAAGCAACTATATTTATAACTAATTAAATATTTTATTATAAATATTCTTAAATAAACTAAATATTTATAACTTATAAGGAAGTTTAAAGTTTATTAATTTATTAATAGGTTTAAAATCTTAAATTTAAATAAAAATTTATAAAAGCTTACTTTAAAAATATATAAATATACTTTATTTAAATTTTATTATAAAGTTAAGTATATTAACCTAATTATAATTAAAATACTTAATAATATAATAGTAAAATATTAATTCTATATTTTAATTTTTATATTTAAATTATCTATTTATTTAAAAATAATAAACTATTATTATTTAAAGGTATATTTTAAAAGCTTTCTATAAACCTACTAAAATATAAAAGAAATTTAATATTTTAATTTAAAATAATAACCTAAAAATATAATTAATTATTTAATAATAATTAATATATTAAAATAACTACTTAATCCTTAATAGTATAAATTATATATTTAAATATTAAAAATATATATTTTAATATTTTATATATAATTAATATTATTAAATTAAAGAAATTAAAACCCTTTAAACTTTATAAAATATTTATAAAGGGTATTAATAATAAGATAACTATAAAGTTTATAATAATAATATATATAAACTCTTTAAAAACCTAAATTAATTAAAGATTTCTAAATAATCTTTAATTATTCTTATACTATACTCTATATTAATAATAATACTTTATATATATTTTAATTTTATATCTTTTCTTCTTATATAAATACTATTAAAAGTCACTATTATATAATTATAATTAAAATAGTATTTATTATTATAAATATTAATTAATATTTTTAAATTAAGTATTAAAAATATATAAATATTCTTAACCTTTACTATTATAATTATATAATAACTAATTAATTAAATAAAATATATACTTAGACTTTAAAGTTAAAATAATATCTTTATTATTTTAATAATAATTAGTTTATAATTAATTATTATAAATATAATTAAATTATTAATAATTTAATTATAAATAGAATTATACTTATAAATTTTAATAAAATATTAATAAAGAGAGTTATTTATTTATATTTTAATAATAAATAATATATAATTAATATAATTATTCTAAATAAAATTAAAAATAAATTTCTTAAAGCACTCCTAATAATAATATTATTAAATACTTCTAACTATAATAAAGTATTAAATATAAAGTTAAAATAACCTATTAAATAATAGACTTAAAACTTATATTTACTTAAATAAATATTAATATTAATAAAGTAATAATTAAATTAATTTATTAAAATTATATTTAATATTATTTATTTAATAATATTATATATAATATTATAGTCTATAAAAATAATAATTAAATAGTTTAAAGTAAAATATAATATATAAATACTTAATAAATTAAATAAAATAAATTATTTTAAATTAAAAACTATAATTAAGTTTTAATTTTAATAAATAATAATTAAAAATATAATAAATTTAATAACTATAAAAGTATATTCTACTTAAAAATAAATATTATATTATTTTTAAATTAAAAACTATAATATTAAAACTATATTAAAAATTATTATTAATTTAAAAATAAAGGTTTATTTAATATTATATAATAAAGTAAAGCTTCTTATATATATAAACTTAAAAGTATTAAAAGAAATAATTTCTTATAAAATTAAATTAAATTAAATAAAACTAATATAAATTAAATATTTATTTTTATTATTTATTTTAATATAACTAACTATTTATTTAATAATAAAAAAGCGACCTTATACTTTTAAAGGGTTTTAAGATTTATATATAATATAAAATTATTATATATAAGAATCCTATAATATTTAAATATATTTTAAAAACTTAAATATTTAAAGGAATTTAAAGTTTTAAAATCCTTTAATATATTCCTTAATAATAAATAAATTAAGTAAATTAATATAAAAGTTAAATAGCTTAACTAATAAATAATTAAAAATAACTTTTAAATAAAATTAATATACTTTTATTAAAAATAAATTAAAAATAATAAATAAATATTTATAATACTTTTAAATATATTAAAGAAAATAATTATATTATTAATAAATATATAATAACATTTTTATATTTTTCTAAAAATAATTTATAAAATATTAAATATAAACTAATAAATTATAATAGCCTATTAATATAATCTTAAAATATTTAAAATCTTAATAATTTATAATTATAAATTAATTTTAATAAATAAAATAAATTAAAAACTAATAAAAAAGTAAAAATATTAATAACTATAATAAATTTCTTATTATATATAATATTAATTAAATTTAACTATAAAAGAAGTAAATAATTATTTAAAATAACTTATTTATTAAATAATTATAAATTAATAATTACTTATTCCTTTTAATATTATAAATAATATACTAAACTATAAAATAAATAAAATAAAGGAATATATCTTATTAGTTTTTTATATACCTTTATTTATAGAGCTTTTATAGATTTTATTAAAAACTTTTACCTTTATATAAAAATAGATATTAATAATAGTTAAACTTAGTATATTACTAACTATTAATTAATAAAACCTTTATTATTTAGTTTTAAATATATTAATTAATCCTTTATCCTTTTATAACTTAA